GGGGTTCAAATACTTTTTTCCCTCACTGTATATATATCTATATAATATGTGTATGTATATGTTTCTTGTTTGTCTGTAATACTATACTACTACTACTACTACTACTACTAGTAGTAATAGTAATACTAGTAATACTACTAGCAATTTTATGAAGTTGGCTTTAGCTAGCCCCGATAGTTTCTCAATCTCCTAGCAACCAAGAAGCCATTTCAGGCTATTAATCAACTTAGAGTAGCTAGCTTGTCTAACAACACTGAACAAAAATATAAACTCAACATGCAACCATTTCAAAGATTTTACTGAGTTACAGTTCATGTAAGGAAGTCAGTCAATTGAAATAAATTCATCAGGCCCTAATCTATGGATTTCACATGACTGGGGATACAGATATGCATCTGTTAGTCACAGATACCTTTAAAAAAATGTAGGGGCGTCAGAAAACCAGACCCCCATTTGCCTCATGCAGCGCGACACATCTATTTTGCATAGAGTTGATCAGGCTGTTGATTGTGGCCTGTGGAATGTTGTCCCACTCCTCTTTAATGGCTGTACGAAGTTGCTGGATATTGGCGGGAACTGGAACACTCTGTCATACACGTCGATCCAGAGCATCCCAAACATGCTCAATGGGTGACATGTCTGGTGAGTATGCAGTCCATGGATTTTTCCAGGAATTGTGTACAGATGCTTGCGACATGGGGCCTTACATTATCATGCTGAAACATGAGGTGATGGTGGCAGATGAATGGCACGACAATGGGCCTCAGGATCTCGTCACGTTATCACTGTGCATTCAAATTGCCTTCGATAAAATTAAATTGTGTTCGTTGTCCGTAGCTTATGCCTGCCCATACCATAACCCCACCGCCACCATGGGGCACTCTGTTCACAACATTGACATCAGCAAACTGCTTGCCCACATGACGCCATACACGCTGTTTACCATCTGCTTGGTTCAGTTGAAACCGGGATTCATCCGTGAATAGCACACTTCTCCAGCGTGCCAGTGGCCATCAAAGGTGAGCATTTGCCCACTGAAGTTGGTTACGACGCCGAAATGCAGTCAGATCAAGACCCTGGTGAGGATGATGAGCACACAGATGAGCTTCCCTAAGACGGTTTCTGAAATTTTTGCAAAAATTATTCGGTTGTGCAAACCCACAGTTTCATCAGCTGTCCGGGTGGCTGGTCTCAAATGATCCTGCAGGTGAAGAAGCCGGATGTGGATGTCCTGGGCTGGCGTGGTTACACATGGTCTACACGTGGTTGGAAGGCCAGTTGGACGTACTGCCAAAATCTCTAAAACGACGTTGGAGGCGTATTATGGTTGAGAAATTAAACATTAAATTCTCTGGCAACAGCTCTGGTGGACATTCCTGCAGTCAGCATGCCAAATGCACGTTCTCTCCGAACTTGAGACATCTGTGGCATTGTGTTGTGTGACTAAACTGCACATTTTAGAATGGCCTTTTATTGTCCCCAGCACAAGGTACACCTGTGTAATGATCATGCTGTTTAATCAGCTTCTTGATATGCCACACCTGTCAGGTGGATGGATTATCTTGGCAAAGGAGAAATGCTCACTAACAGGGATGTAAACAAATTTGTGCACAAAATGTGAAAGAAATAAGCTTTTTGTATGGAACATTTCTGCAATCTTTTATTTTAGCTTATGAAACATGGGAACAACACTTTACATGTTACGTTTATATTTTTATTCAGTATATCTTAGCTGGAATGCCTGTTGACAAGGTTAGTAGACTTTAGAAAAGCAAGTAATAACTAAATGTACTGAACAAGACTCACATTCCTTTCAATCTTTCACACAGATTTTAGCAGAGATGCAAAGAAGCGTATTAAGTTTCTTAAAAAAAACAAAAAAACACCAGTCAGTAGGATACAGACAGCTGAAGACGTATGCTTAGATATGCAGAAAAATAGACACATTTTTGACATAGAATTAAGCATAATGATTATGGCTCTAGATTGCAGGAAAAAGCTGTTTTAGGTGTTTGAAAAATGCTAATTGCTCCAACTTCCGGACAGGGGACCTAGTCAACCCTCTGGACCACCCCCCCAGCCATCCTCACGTACTTTGTGCTCCCTCAGATTTTTGTGGTGCATGATGCCCCTGATCACAGATTGTAATTTTACTGTTGAAACTGGAGTGGTTGTGGGTGATCGATTAACAGCTGTGTGGAGAGCTGCGACTGAAGATACTCTGGCAGGCAGGGGGACACTTGTTGTGGTGACACAATGGGGCAGTTGTCTGCTGTTTTCACCCAGGAAGCTGCTCCCATCACAACAACACTACCCATTGTCTGCCTGTGGAACTGACCCCTTGGGAGCCTCTGAGATCACAGAGGAAAGTGGAAATGGGGTGAATTGTTGTCACTGAGGGCATGCAACCCAGTGGGGAGTAATCATACCATCACTGCAGAAAAGCTAACTCCTGCACATACAGTATTACTCTGCACGTTTAGAGTATTGACGTTTCAGACAGAGCTCGTATAAAGCCTATCATAGTCGTCTCTGTTTCCTTACCCGCCAACTCATCCTCTCATCTTGACCTCCATACCTTCAGTCCATGGTCAAAACCTGAAACATTTAGTGTTACAAGACCAGCTATCTTAGCTTAAGGATTATCTATACTGAACAAAAATATAAACGCAACATGTAAAGTGTTGGTACCATGTTTCATGAGCTGAAGTAAAATATCCCAGAAATGTTCCGTACACACAAAAAGCTTATTTCTCTAAAATGTTGTGCACAAATTTGTTTACATCCCTGTTAGTGAGCATTTATCCTTTGCCAATATAATCCATCCACCTGACAGGTCTGACATATCAAGAAGCTGATTAAACAGCATGATCATTACACAGGTGCACCTTGTGCTGGGGACAATAAAAGGCCATTCTAAAATCTGCAGTTCTGTCACACAATACAATGCCACAGATGTCTCAAGTTTTAAGGGGGAGTGCAATTGGCATGCTGACTGAAGGAATGTCCACCAGAGCTGTTGCCAGAGAATGTAATGTTAATTTCTCTACCATAAGCTGCCTCCAACGTCGTTTTAGAGAATTTGGAAGTACGTCCAACCGGCCTCACAATCGCAGACCATGTGTAACCATGCCAGCCCAGGACCTCCACATACGGCTTCTTCACCAGCGGGATCATCTGAGACCAGCCACCCAGACAGCTGATGAAACGGAGGAGTATTTCTGTCTGTAATAAAGCCCTTTTTGTGGGGAAAAACTCATTCTGATTAGCTGAGCCTGGCTCTCCAGTGGGTGGGCCTGGCTCCCAAGTGGGTGGGCCTATGCCCTCCCAGGCCCAACCATGATGCCCCCTCTCAGTCATGTGAAATCCATAGATTAGGGCCTAATGAATTTATTTTCAATTGACTGATTTCCTTATAACTCAGTAAAATCGTTGAAATGGTTGCAGGTTGTGTTTATATGTTTGTTCAGTATAGTTCCATTCACGTCACTACCCAGCTAGCACATTTGGTTCCTTGGAAGTTGTGGGAACGTATGTTTTTGGTTTCACATTGGTTGTGGGAACAAAGCAATACGTTACCTGACCGGTAAAACAGAACGTTTTTTAAACATTCTGAGAACGGAAGTGAACATTTTGCCTGTTCTTGGAACATTTATTTTTAGGTTTCAGTGAGGTTCTGATAATGTTTTAATCTGTTTCCTGGGAGGTTTAATTAACGCTCTGAATATGGCAATTATAGGTTATTTTGAGTTTTTTTTATAACTTAAAACTTTCACTGAATGTTTCAATAAGACTTTTAATTACACTGTTAGCTTATTTTCAGTTAACTTTTTTGAACTCCAAGTACAGATGGAAATTCGTTTCCTTAAGCATTGATCATCCCAACACAATTATTTGTTTATTATGACGCAGCATCAGTGAGATTTGAACCAGTGAGATTGGTGTTCTGTTCTCTATCCATGGAATTAGTCCACTGTGCCACCAGGATGGAGCTAGCATGCCATGTTTTTTTATGCATACAAAGCTGTTTATTTTAGCCTGTTCAAACAGACCCCATTTCAAAGGAAACAAGCACTCATTGAGATCAGGTGTGGCCAACACACCTGCACACACTTAACAAGATGGAGGGTAGAGAGAGCTTTGTTGATGCTGAGAACAGAATGTATATGTTTTAAATAACATTCTAGGACGTTCTGTGAACGTTACAAACGTTTTCTTGTAGTTTTTATGGAAAGTTTCCTTAACGTTTTTAGTAACAATTTGAGAACATGACTAAATAGAACCATGAGGAAACCTTTAGGAAATGTTATGCTGAAGTACTGAAATTCCCACGTTATGTGCTATTTGGGTAGGTTATGTGTGGCTGGTGTTTATTGTGTACATAGGCTAGGCGTGGGAGAGAAGCGTCTGTGTGACAACATTACATGGGACCTAAACAGAGGGTGTGGTTTGAACCCCCTCGTTCTCAGCTCTGAGAAGCTGGCAGGCCTTGTGACATCACTGAGTGGACACCATGAGCAAACAGTGTAATGATGATGTGCCGCCGGCTCAAACACACCTTGAATTTTGACCCCATGCTTTGGACCTGTTTGCATTACTTGGTATTGTAGTTCCCCAAAATGTAGTTCCCCAAAATGCATAGTGTCATGGCTTGAGATGATTCAGAAAAATCTATACCATAAGCAAGTGTGTGAAACAGTCAGATCTTGGATGTTGAAGAGAAAGGTTTACTGTGTAAATACATGAGTCACCACACAGTCATTAGCAGACAGAGAGACTAGCCGTTCAAGTTTATTATTGGATGTTTTTACCGAAATGTAGTATTTACACATATACAAGTGTCCCCACATGCACTGTATCCTGTAGATACACAACAAGACAGATAGGGGAGTAATCGTGGGATCTGTGTCAAGGAAATGCCTTCTCTCTCTCTGCTTTAGATACCTGAGGGAGCAGACTGTGAGAACCACACCCAGTGTATCATAACTGCTGCTTAGAGCATGGAGCTGGACCAATCAGAGATGAGCATCTTGGGATGCTCACCCAATGGGAAAGGTCACAACCTAGGAGATGACACGTATGTGACCGTTTCCTTCTCCTGTCCTTTCTTTTCTCAACACCGACCTCTATTATTGTTGTTACAGTATTGTATTGTTCAACAACCACCACAACTATTTAAAAAAAGATTTGCCTTCCATATCTCTCTGATGAGCAGCGGAGAATGTCCATACACTTGTCTCAAAACAATGACTTTAGTTCCATATTTCACCTGATTGGGGTGGCAGGTAGCCGAGAGGTTAGAGCATTGGTCCAGTTACCCAAAGTACTTCTGTGGCTGACCCTGTAAAACAACACCTTTCACTGCACCTATCAGGTGTATGTGACAGTAAAACATATATATATTTTCCTTGGTGCCTCTACTGCATACCACAGAAACATTACATTGTATATTCCATTCCAATTGTTTTTGAAGGAATGCTTTGATATTGCTATCACATAAGGGTGGTGACATTAATTTTGCCCACTGCATACAGTGTTACAGTATGTGAATGTGCCATGTGTTGCTGTCAATGCAGTGTGTTTCTAAAAGACAGTATATTCATCCACATTATTAACCAAAAAATTCAGAGACACTGTCTGTATCCCAAATGGCACCCTATTCCCTACATAGTGTGCTACTTTCCCTATAGGCCCTGGTCAAAAGTAGTGCACTATAAAATGACCTCATAAAACTCTGTTTCAATTTCCTCCATTGCAAATTGTGTTTGCTTGTCCTGTCCTCCTTGTGCTAAGTGTATGACATTTGTAATGAGTATAAAGTGTTTATAGGGCGTGAATGACGTCTGAACAGACAATATAGCTGATTTCCTGAGTGGTGTTTGTGTTTCTAAGTGCATGTTTGCCTTGTTTTTGTCCTACCGTCACCCCGTGGATGCTCTGTTTGCCACACAGAAATGGTACTCAAAATGTCAGGTAGGTTTCTACTTTCTATACACAGTCACATAGACAAGCTCTATCTGGTAGGCCTACTGACTATTTCAAATCAGTATTCACAAACAATCCTTTAAGTGAAGCATTTTTAACACTGTTTTAACAATATACTCTGTCCTGTCTGTGTAGCTTGTATCCCCATTTTAAGCTGCAGGTTTTTGGAGACTTTCGATTGTAACAACGTTTTCTGTTTCATCCAGGTTTGATGATCCTGATGACATCCTGGAGAATGAGGAGTTTCTGCCCAACGGAGATGGGAGGAAACCAATGCGCTTCACAGATGTGAGTGTAGCTGACTTTATTACCTCTGCATGTACCACAACTCAAACATCATTACTGTTGACCATAGGGGTCTGGTCAAAATAAGTGCACTAATAGGGAATAGGGTGTCATTTGGAATGATTGGAATCTGATGACACATTCCGCTTGTCACATTGCACTAGACAAGAGCATGAGTTTCTAAATGTAAGAAGAGCAGCCATTTTCTGCTTTACCTCATTATTGAATGAACTGAATCTGAAATTGTTGTATTTGTTTTGATCAGTTTGAGGGAAAGACGTCTTTCGGCATGTCTGTGTTCAACCTGGGGAATGCTATCATGGGCAGTGGAATTCTGGGACTGGCTTATGCCATGGCCAACACTGGCATCCTCCTCTTCCTGTAAGTCAAACCGTCAGCGATACATCACTGTACTGTGAGTCGCTCTGAATAAGAGTGTCTGTTAAACAGTGGAGGCTGGTGGGAGGAGCTATAGGAGGAAGGGCTCATTTTAATGGCTGGAATGGAATAAATGGAACGGTATCAAACACATCAAACATATGGAAACCATGTTTGGCTCCGTTCCATTCATTTCATTCCAGCCATTACAATGAGCCCATCCTCCTATAGCTCCTCCCCCCAGCCTCCACTGCTGTTAAATGACCAAAATGTAATGTAAATGTAATACAAATGTAATGTCTAGTCCTGCCTCTTGCTTCTTAACTGTCTCCTAGTCTCTCCTTTCCCCAGGTGGCTTAGTGTTTCTTTCTTCATGTCATAAAACCCTGAAACCGCAAAACGATACACTTGCATAGCACTGACTTTCAAGTCAGTGACACACTGAGCACAGACACGGTAGGAGTCACTCATTAGCTATTGGTCTGTTGCTAGTTGCACTGCCTCTGCCAGCTTGTTGTGGTGTGATATCCCTTTGCCTAAGCAGAGAGCCAGGGGAGAACATGCTCCCCAGTCCCAGTGATAGCCTTTAGGCTGCACATGGAGTCCACATAGTGGAAAGGGCCGGAGTGGGGGTTGAAAATAGCCACAACCTTCGCTTGCAGAAGGGAGCTGGGACGACCAGAAATGCTATCTGCCCAGAGCCCCAGCCTGCCTGCCTCAAGAGGGGTGCTGGGCCAGGATGGGGTGAGAAGGGGCCAGGGTGGGGCTGTAGGCTGGGTGGGGGTCTGTGGTGACACGATCCACACTATCCCCTCCCTCCCATCCTCCCCCATTGCTCCAACCCTTGTTCCCGCCCCTGTGGACACAAATAGGCCCCAGAAAGGCCACAGCCCAGAATAGCCCCGCCTCCCAGTCCCCATGCCACTGGCCCCCTCTGTAGCGCTGGACATTTCCACTCCCCTCCCTCCTCCCTCGGTCCCTCTGTCCATCTCATGGAAACATAGAGTCCCCCCCCCCATCCATGTGACTCCGTGTTGGTTTGTATAGCTGCAGAGAGCAGGACTTAGGGCAGGGACAGGAACAGGGACAGTCTTCATTCACAACTCTGCATGGGAACACAACCCATTCTATGGATTCTAAAGAGTTTCTCCTCTAAAGATGGAGTCAACAGCAGAACCCTTCTTTAGAGCTCACAGTCACCTGCAGTTAGGCTACAGGATGGAACACATCATCATCATCACCATCGCCATGGTGATCGTTGTCATCTTTGTTGCGAATTTTGTCCCAATAACATGGTGCTCATTCTGAACATATGCTTTTCCACAAAGACAGATGTCAAAGACTAATGTCAAACAAGGTCACCTTTGAGATATTATGGTGAATGAAGGAACCCTTCGACCTGTCTTCATAAAGGCTTTCTGTTTTATTAACCTACTAGGAATTGTTTTAGTAAGATTGCGGCAAAGACAAACCTATTGTTTAAGTCTCTAATGTAGCTTTTATGAAAGAAATCCCATTAAACAGAGGCATTTCTCTGGCTTTGTGACTTCAGGTTATTGTACAGGGGAGGATGGGTTCAACAGCTTCAGATAGATGTATTTGTTAGATGTAGGAATCAATTCACATGGATTTGTTTGTCTGTGTATTCTAAGTATATTATTACTGACTTTGGACTCAAAGACATGTCTTCTGGTAAAAGTAAGCCAAGTCTAGATTCCTGTAGCAAACAAAATGTGATCAAATTCCAAGTCATTGTTCCAAGTCCTATCTTTTCCCATGAAAAAACTGATTTGTGGCATTGTGGGTGTGACGGACACAGAACCTTCTTTGTGTCTCAATGGTAACCTACTGTAACTCAAGATAGAAAACCCCAATTTCTCAAGGGAACAAGAAGACCCACATAATTTAGATGTTTTCTGCCTCCCTCAGCATATGGGAGCGGTTTCAGGGCTCCCCCCACGTCCTCTGGGAATGCCATACACCTTAGCAGTTCCCAGGGGACGTGGGGGGAAGCCCTGAAACTGCTCCCATTCCTTGTGCGTGAGTGATATGTTATGATCTCCCATGATGCCTTACTCAGTATCACTCAGCGTTTCCATGATGCCTTACTCAAGTTTCAAGTTTCAAGTTTTAGTCGTATGTACAGGATACAAATGGTATACACCAGGGTTCTTCAATTCCGGTCCTGGAGGGCCGAAACACTTCTGTTTTTTATTTCTACCTGGTAGTTAATTGCACTCACCTGGTGTCCCAGGTCTGAGTTAGCCCCTGATTAGAAGGAGAGGATGAAAAACAGAGGTGTTTCGGCCCTCTAGGACCGGAATTGAAGAACCCTGGTATACACCATCCAACGAAATGCTTCCTTGCAGGTTCCTTCTGGACAATGCAACAACAATAAGAGATAAAAGATAAGAACATAAAGCAAATGGTTCAGTAGAATGGAATAAACATTGTAGCATAAGTATAATACAGGAAGGCACAATTTATAGTCCAGTTATTTACATGTGTTTTGTGGAAGGGGGATGGAGGTGCAAGTCCAGCATCACTCAGCGTTTCCATGATTTCTTAATCAGCATCACTCAGCGTTTCCATGATTCCTTACTCAGCATCTCTGTGTTTCCATGATTTCTTACTCAGCATCTCTGTGTTTCCATGATTTCTTACTCAGCATCTCTGTGTTTCCATGTTTCTTACTCAGCATTTCCCATAGCAGTAAGAACAGAGTGGGAATACAGGTCCTATAACATGACATTTAGACACGAGACCTGAGAACTGCGATTTCATGGAGAAAGGAACCAAACCAAACATTGAGCAACTCATACTCAATGCCGTGGTCTCATTCACCAGCTGTTGTGACTCCTGGCCACATAGGTCTACATACCCAAGGCTCTGCTCTTTTGAGTGGTCAGTGGAATGTCAGGGCTCAACCTCTGTGCCCACACTGACTGTGGCCAGATGCTAGGATCCTCACCTCTGCTGTGGCCAGTAGTCAAGGAGCCTCCATCTGGCCGTAGAGGCCGGACTCTGAGGTCTGGGAAAGGTGATGGCATCGGGAGCGCCCTCTGACCCATCTAGGAATGCCGAAGGGGTCAGTGTTCTGTAGGCGGACTGCAGCTCTGCTCCACGCTGCCTTTGGCACAGGGGCGTAAGGGGGAGAGGGGTTGTGAGAAACGCTGTTTCTCAGAGTATTACAACAGACCAGGATGGCTGGAAGGAGACTTACGTGGTTTATTAAACCCCCCCCACACCTCGCTCCTACGTTCTTACCCCCAACTTGACTTTCTCAGACTGTTGACAACATCATACAGCATTAGCCTTTTCATGACATTGAGAGTCTGCTGAGAAAGCGCTTGCCTTTATTAACTGTCTGTACTTGATCCCTGAGATCACATGGCTATAGTTGGACATTACAGTTGGTGGTTAGCCAGCCAGAGTTGGCTTTGTTCTAGCTGTACCTTTCCACTGTTCATCCTAGTAATCCCATCATGATACAATTATTGTATTTCAGTGAAACCTTTAAATGTTTATTTTTGGAATTATACCCAGGCAGTTGTAATCTCAAACTGTAATTTATTTTGTTATATTGGCTCCTAGTCAAGCCACTAAGTGCAGGGCTTGTCGTAGAAATGTGTGTGTTCGTGCTATTATTACATATTGTCAGAGACGAGTTGAGGAGTTCACTTCCACAGTCTGTTCTGAGCTTGTTAGTTGCTATGCTCAACTAAAGACCTTTCACTGCATTGAAATTAGGCAATGATGTGTTTTATCATGTACTCTTTCTTTCTCTCCTCCCAGGTTTCTTCTGACTGCTGTGGCGGCTCTCTCCTCCTACTCCATTCACCTGCTGCTCAAATCCTCTGGCATTGTGGGTAAGCTGACCCTCATCTTCAATGGACCTCATGCCTGAATGGTGCACGTGTAGCTATGTATAGTAATACATGCACATCATAGTTTGATCCAGTGGCAACACTCCAAGACGTAGGGGTGTGTCACACTATTGCTGAACCATTGAGAGGAGATGATGGTACAGCATATTTTGGGCTGCTGCAGCGTCCAGTCACAGGGATAGGGCCAGATGGAGAAAAAGTGTTGGCTTGCATAGTTACCGTTTTTAGCATTTGCATGTCTTGATTGTAGCTTGTATAGATTAGCTTGGAGAAGTAATGTGCTATTACAATGTAATGAATTCCCAATGGCCCAGCATTAAGGATGTGTACAAATCCTTATATATTGTTGTGTGTTCATATTCTGGTATAGGGGCCTAGTATGGAAATAGAGGCCTGGCATATTAACCACTGTAGATTAACCTGTAGATTCTACACTGACTATATAACTAAGTGTTGTTTGACTTACTACCTGGGTGTCCCCCTGTAAAGCTGTGTAATGATGATGTTGCGCAACCCTCTTCCTCTTCCAGGAATCCGAGCCTATGAACAGCTAGGCTACAGGGCCTTTGGCACCCCAGGCAAGATGGCCGCCGGTATTGCCATCACTCTACAGAACATTGGAGGTGAGAGGACACTGTGGTCACTGGTCTAGTTTACCTCAACAACACACATATGTGTGTATTTGTAGTGGTTATAGTGTTATGATGAATCACAAAGCTCAGCAGCAGTCAGGCAGGCAAACTGTTTGGTCTTCCTGTTCACTTGGAGATCAGCCCTTCACATTAACCCCCCCCCCCCCCCCCATATTCACATAGTACTACTAATACAGCCCTATCCCTAGCCCTCTCTTTCTCTCTGTGTGTGTCTGTGTGTGTGTATATGATATGGCAGAGTTTTAGGAGCTAAGGCCAGCTGTCCAGTTGGCAAACAGCTGCTGCCATGGACGTGGTGGTGTGTTGGCTTTGACAGTGTGCTGGCTGCCTGCCTTCCTACGTGGTCTGATCCCTAACTTTGACTGACACACAGGCAGCACCAGCCAGTAGCCATGTTACCATTGTGTTTCTTACTGCAACAGTAGCAGTGAAGTATGTCTTAGTACCACAGAGAGAACACATTACACAAAGTACTGTCTGAGAATCATGAATCATGTTGTTTCAGGTCGAGGCAAAGAATTACACATGGCGAGTAAGAAAAGAATAGAAAGAGTTTGAGCATATTCAGAATGTAGACATTAATTATTCTAGATGGACAATGCATGGTCACTTATTCAATCGGATGTGAGGGCAAATGAGGGAAATACTGCTTAATAACACGGATGTGATGAAATGAGGACGCATTATGAAGATGAGGATATGTTATGAAATGCGGGGAAACTTTAATTTGCTTTGAGTAGCTTTATGTTATTGTAAATCGTTTTAATAATTAATGCCTTTAGGAAATCTCTTTCCACACTGTGCAGTCTGTGTTCTTTTCTAGACGTCTATACGTCTTTCTTCAGTCTGTTCTCTTCTAGACGTCTGTACGTCTTTCTTCAGTCTGTGTTCTTTTCTAGACGTCTGTACGTCTATCTTCAGTCTGTGTTCTTTTCTAGACGTCTGTACGTCTTTCTTCAGTCTGTGTTCTTTTCTAGACGTCTGTACGTCTTTCTTCAGTCTGTGTTCTTTTCTAGACGTCTGTACGGCTTTCTTCAGTCTGTTATTTTCTAGACGTCTAGACGGCTTTCTTCAGTCTGTTATTTTCTAGACGTCTAGACGGCTTTCTTCAGTCTGTGTTCTTTTCTAGACGTCTGTACGGCTTTCTTCAGTCTGTGTTCTTTTCTAGACGTCTGTACGGCTTTCTTCAGTCTGTGTTCTTTTCTAGACGTCTGTACGTCTTTCTTCAGTCTGTGTTCTTTTCTAGACGTCTGTACGTCTTTCTTCAGTCTGTGTTCTTTTCTAGACGTCTGTACGTCTTTCTTCAGTCTGTGTTCTTTTCTAGACGTCTGTACGTCTTTCTTCAGTCTGTGTTCTTTTCTAGACGTCTGTACGTCTTTCTTCAGTCTGTGTTCTTTTCTAGACGTCTGTACGTCTTTCTTCAGTCTGTGTTCTTTTCTAGACGTCTGTATGTCTTTCTTCAGTCTGTGTTCTTTTCTAGACGTCTGTACGTCTTTCTTCAGTCTGTGTTCTTTTCTAGACGTCTGTACGGCTTTCTTCAGTCTGTTATTTTCTAGACGTCTAGACGGCTTTCTTCAGTCTGTTATTTTCTAGACGTCTAGACGGCTTTCTTCAGTCTGTGTTCTTTTCTAGACGTCTGTACGGCTTTCTTCAGTCTGTGTTCTTTTCTAGACGTCTGTACGTCTTTCTTCAGTCTGTGTTCTTTTCTAGACGTCTGTACGTCTTTCTTCAGTCTGTGTTCTCTTCTAGACGTCTGTACGTCTTTCTTCAGTCTGTGTTCTTTTCTAGACGTCTGTACGTCTATCTTCAGTCTGTGTTCTTTTCTAGACGTCTGTACGGCTTTCTTCAGTCTGTTATTTTCTAGACGTCTAGACGGCTTTCTTCAGTCTGTTATTTTCTAGACGTCTAGACGGCTTTCTTCAGTCTGTGTTCTTTTCTAGACGTCTGTACGGCTTTCTTCAGTCTGTGTTCTTTTCTAGACGTCTGTACGTCTTTCTTCAGTCTGTGTTCTTTTCTAGACGTCTGTACGTCTTTCTTCAGTCTGTGTTCTCTTCTAGACGTCTGTACGTCTTTCTTCAGTCTGTGTTCTTTTCTAGACGTCTGTACGTCTTTCTTCAGTCTGTGTTCTTTTCTAGACGTCTGTACGGCTTTCTTCAGTCTGTGTTCTTTTCTAGACGTCTGTACGGCTTTCTTCAGTCTGTTATTTTCTAGACGTCTGTACGGCTTTCTTCAGTCTGTGTTATTTTCTAGACGTCTGTACGTCTTTCTTCAGTCTGTGTTATTTTCTAGATGTCTGTACGTCTTTCTTCAGTCTGTGTTATTTTCTAGACATCTGTACGTCTTTCTTTCCCCAGGTGAATGTGCTATGTGTTGACTGAGTGAGTCACCCATATGTGAAAGTGTTAGCTACATGTCTTGATTAAATGTCACTGACTGTGTCACTCATAGTTTCTGTCGGTCTCTACTCCTCACAGCCATGTCCAGCTACCTGTACATCGTCAAGTCTGAGTTCCCATTGGTCATCCAGGCCTTCAGTAGGGCGGACCCCACGTCTGAGTGAGTACTCTTATTGGTCTATCCACTAGATCTAACATGTCTCTACATTCCGGGCCCACAGTAGGCAAATGCTCGCCTGGCATAGCCTAGTATACCAGGGGAGAGGTGGGACAGGGGTAGGAGCCTGCTATTGGCTAGACAGAATAGAGGGGATTGTTAGGAAAGGTTAGCACACACCTCTTCCCCCGCCCACAGGTTGTGGTGACAACGCCTCCAAACAGAAGTGTTGTGGTGGTGATACAGGGGGTGGTGTGTTGGGCGGCCCTGCGGTCCCTGGCTGTCTGAAATGCTTTTCTGCGCTGCTTCTCCCCTGGCCGGATCTAAAAACAAACCCTGGACAGGACAGGGAGTGCTGAGAGCTGAGCCCTGTCCTGCTCTACCCAGCCAGGCTGCTTTAGGAAACATCACAGCTCCCTTCTCTATTAGCCTGGCCATAGGGCTCAGCCCTGCATCAAAGCACACTGGATCTAGTTGACACGGGGGAGTTGAATACACGAAAGAAATGTACAGCAGCGCAGCCAGAAGAGCAGTGAAAATGACGCATATTAATCTCAATGGTGTTGGCATCCTGACGAAGGGAGGTGAGATGAGACGGCTTCTCCATCTGTTCTCTGTGCTCTGGCTTAGAGCCCTGTGTGTCATCCAGCTAGTTGGATGCTCTGACCACGTGTCTCAGTGGGTTTCTGTGTGTTTCTGTGTGTCCTGTAGCTAAGTGTTGCAATGTTTTACTGTTGTTATGTGTGTGTGTTTCATTTCTGGGAGAGTGCAGGTATTTCTCCATAGGGATCTTAGAGTTCTCTGAAGGCCTGTCATCACCCTTTGTTGTTGATGAGGAGGGGTGTGACAGGGTCAGATTGTGACGCGGGTGTGTGTGTGTTGGGGACAGGATCAAGCACACACGCACATTCTCAGGTGACAGCAGACAGCTGTCTGGACTGGGGTGCCAGCCACACTAAAGGACAGGTCAACTCAGGCACAAACACATAGGCAGGACTCTTTATGTCCAGACATCTACACAGCACACACACACACACACACACACACACACACACACACACACACACACACACACACACACACACACACACACACACACACACACACACACACACACACACACACACACACACACACACACACACACACACACACACACACACTTCTTTAGCTCCCTCTCTACATCCATGGTCAGTACATCATATTCTCTGGTTTCAGGTGCGTTTAGATTTGTGGCTTCAGGAGAAGAGGTGGGGGGGGGGGGGGGGGGTTTGTTGGCAGGGGTTTGTTTAAATAGAGATGGGCTTACAGTGATTCAGACAGTGTGTCTGACTGGATAAGGGCCTGTCACACACACACACACACACACACACTCAGTGAGTGGGTGGGACACATTCAGCCAGCAGGGAACAGGGAGGTCGGCATCAGAAGCATGTACAACACAGATAATAGGGCTACATACAGTTGAAGTTGGAAGTTTACATACACCTTAGCCAAATGTTTTTTAAACTCAGTTTCACAATTCCTGACATTTAATCCTAGTAAATATTCCCTCTCTTACGTCAGTTAGGATCACCACTTTATTTTAAGAATATGAATTGTCAGAATATAGTAGAAATAATGATTTATTTAGCTTTTATTTCTTTCATCACATTCCCAGTGGGTCAGAAGTTTACATACACTCAATTAGTATTTGGTAGCATGTCCTAACCACTTGCCAAAACTATAGTTTGTTAACAAGAAATTTGTGGAGTGGTTGAAAAACGAGTTTTAATGACTCCAACCTAAATGTATGTAAACTTCCGACTTTAACTGTATGAAGGAAGAGGAAAATAGAGGGCTACATATGAAGGAAGAGGATAATAGAGGACTAAATATGAAGGAAGAGGATAGTAGAGGGATAAATATGAAGGAAGAGGATAATAGAGGGCTACATATGAAGGAAGAGGATAGTAGATGGCTACATATGAAGGAAGAGGAAAATAGAGGGCTACATATGAAGGAAGAGGAAAATAGAGGGCTACATATGAAGGAAGAGGATAGTAGAGGGATACATATGAAGGAAGAGGATAGTAGAGGGCTAAATATGAAGGAAGAGGATAATAGAGGGATACATATGAAGGAAGAAGATAGTAGAGGGCTACATATGAAGGAAGAGGATAGTAGAGGGCTAAATATGAAGGAAGAGGATAGTAGAGGGCTACATATGAAGGAAGAGGATAATAGAGGGCTACATATGAAGGAAGAGGATAATAGAGGGCTAAATATGAAGGAAGAGGATAGTAGAGGGATACATATGAAGGAAGAGGATAGTAGAGGGATACATATGAAGGAAGAGGATAGTAGAGGGCTACATATGAAGGAAGAGGATAGTAGAGGGCTAAATATGAAGGAAGAGGATAGTAGAGGGATACATATGAAGGAAGAGGATAATAGAGGGCTACATATGAAGGAAGAGGATAATAGAGGGCTACATATGAAGGAAGAGGATAGTAGAGGGATACATATGAAGGAAGAGGATAGTAGAGGGCTACATATGAAGGAAGAGGATAGTAGAGGGCTAAATATGAAGGAAGAGGATAGTAGAGGGATACATATGAAGGAAGAAGATAGTAGAGGGCTACATATGAAGGAAGAGGATAGTAGAGGGCTAAATATTAAGGAAGAGGATAGTAGAGGGATACATATGAAGGAAGAGGATAGTAGAGGGCTACATATGAAGGAAGAGGATAATAGAGGGCTAAATATGAAGGAAGAGGATAGTAGAGGGATACATATGAAGGAAGAAGATAGTAGAGGGCTACATATGAAGGTAGAGCATAGTAGAGGGATACATATGAAGGAAGAGGATAGTAGAGGGCTACATATGAAGGAAGAGGAAAATAGAGGGCTACATATGAAGGAAGAGGATAGTAGAGGGCTACATATGAAGGAAGAGGATAGTAGAGGGCTACATATGAAGGAAGAGGAAAATAGAGGGCTACATATGAAGAAAGAGGAAAATAGAGGGCTACATATGAAGGAAGAGGATAGTAGAGGGCTAAATATGAAGGAAGAGGATAGTAGAGGGCTACATATGAAGGAAGAGGATAATAGAGGGCTACATATGAAGGAAGAGTATAGTAGAGGGCTACATATGAAGGAAGAGTATAGTAGAGGGCTAAATATGAAGGAAGAGGATAGTATTGGGCTACATTTGAAGGAAGAGGATAGTAGAGGGCTACATTTGAAGGAAGAGGATAGTAGAGGCTACATATGAAGGAAGAGGAAAATAGAGGGCTACATATGAAGGAAGAGGAAAATAGAGGGCTACATATGAAGGAATAGGATAATAGAGGGCTACATATGAAGGTAGAGGATAGTAGAGGGATACATATGAAGGAAGAGGATAGTAGAGGGATAAATATGAAGGAAGAAGATAGTAGAGGGCTACATATGAAGGTAGAGGATAGTAGAGGGATACATATGAAGGAAGAGGATAATAGAGGGCTACATATGAAGGAAGAGGATAGTATCGGGCTACATTTGAAGGAAGAGGATAGTAGAGGGCTACATTTGAAGGAAGAGGATAGTAGAGGCTACATATGAAGGAAGAGGATAATAGAGGGCTACATATGAAGGAAGAGGATAGTAGAGGGATGCATATGAAGGAAGAGGATAGTAGAGGGATACATATGAAGGAAGAGGATAGTAGAGGGATACATATGTAGGAAGAGGATAGTAGAGGGATACATATGAAGGAAGAGGATAGTAGAGGGATACATATGAAGGAAGAGGATAGTAGAGGGATACATATGAAGGAAGAGGATAGTAGCAGGCTGCATTTGAAGGAAGAGGATAGTAGAGGGCTACATATGAAGGAAGAGGATAGTAGAGGGCTACATATGAAGGAAGAGGATAGTAGAGGGATACATATTTAGGAAGAGGATAGTAGAGGGCTACATATGAAGGAAGAGTAACTAGAAGACCACAGTTATGAGGAAAGAGAGAGAGCTTCCAAAAAGCAATCGGTAGTTCTTGGGAACAGGGCGTGAAGTGTTTAGGTCCGTATATGCTACCCTTATTGGAACTGTCAATGTCCACGTAAATCAGTGGCCTTATACAGTGCCTTGCAAAAGTATTCATCCCCCTTGGCGTTTTTCCTATTTTGTTGCATTACAACCTGTAATTTAAATTCATTTTTATTTGATTTAATGTAATGGACATACACAAAATAGTCCAAATTGGGGAAGTGAAATTAAAATAATTCTAACAAATAACAGAAAAGTGATGCGTGCATATGTATTCACCCCCTTTGCTATGAAGCCTTCATATATAGCCTCTACTATCTCTTCCTTCATATGTAGCCCTCTACTATCCTCTTCCTTCATATGTAGCCCTCTACTATCCTCTTCCTTCACACTTTAAGCCATACACTCCACAGAGTTGCGCTTTACGGAAGAGTGGCCAGAAAAAAGCCATTGCTTATAGAAAAAAATAAGCAAACACGTTTGGTGTTCACCAAAAGCAATGTGGTCAGATGAGTCTAAAATTTAGCTTTTGGGCCGGGGTGAGTCTTACCGTCCGTGAGGAACGGCTGGGACAGGATTGCTCCCACCGCAATGTCTGAAGCATCCACCTCCACAATGAATGGTAGGGACGGATCAGGATGCCCTTGGACCGGGGCCGATGTAAAGTGCTGCTTAAGCGCATCGAATGCGTTCCCCGCTTCAGGGGTCCAGGCGAATGAGCACACGCTCGTCTGGGTGAGGGCTGTCAGGGGACCGGCTAGGGAGCTACAATTGCGAATAAATCGGCTATAAAAATTAGCGAACCCTAAAAACCGTTGTAGTTGCTTGAGGGAGGAGGGCTGGGGCCAATCCAGTACCGTGCTGACCTTTGCTGGGTCCCTCCGTAGGTCCCCCTGGGTGACGATGAACCCCAGGAAGGAGACTGTCTCCGTGTGGAACACGCACTTCTCCTCCTTGACGTAGAGAGGGTGATGGAGAAGGCGTTGGAGGACCTGCCTAACGTGCTGCTGGTGTTCACTCATGTTCTTTGAAAATTTTAGGATGTGTTCCAAATACACGAAGACGCTGTGGTCGAGGAGGTCCTGGAGTACGTCATTGACCAACGCCTGGAACACCGCAGGTGCGTTGGCTAGACCGAACGGCAGGACTTGGTACTCGTAATGCCCACTGGGTGTGTTAAAAAGCCGTCTTCCACTCGTCCCCCTCCCGAATCCTCACCAGGTTTTAGGCATTTTGTAAGTCCAGCCTGGTGAAGATCCGGGCTCATCAGGGGGAGTGGGAAGCAGTTCTTAACTGTGATGTTGTTGAGCGCCCTGTAATCAACGGCCGTTGCCCACTGTCCTTTTTCCCCACGAAGAAAAGCCTGCGCCCGCGGGTGAGGTAGATGGGCAGATGTGATCCTCGACGAGTGCCTCGTCGATATACTCCCTCATGGCCAGCGTCTCCGGCCCGGGACAAGGAAAAAAATCGCCCTCGTGTTGGCATGGTGCCCGGCAGGAGATCAATAGCGCAGTCGTATGGCCTGTGAGGAGGTAGACCCTTGGCACGCCTCTTACTAAACACCTCCCCTGGATATCCTCCCATAGCCCCCCTGCCACCCGGACACGCACGGGGACAGTGCGCCGGGTGATGAAGCCCGACCCCAATGGCCGGCCGTCCAGGCCCATGACCGGAACCGGCTCGGAGAGGGAGAGTAACGGAACGGTCCACCCTTGGGCCAGCCCCGCATCCATCAGGTTTCCCGTGGCCACCAAAATCCACCAGTGCATGCGCCCAACGCGCAGAGTGGGCCCACTGAACCCTGACGGGGAGAAAAGTCAGGGAGTCTCTCGATTTGGGGTTTCGGTTCCAGCTTGCTAGCACCGCTCCCGATACTAGCAAGCCCTCCCGTTTCCCGGCTTCTCAGGGCATGAGTCGCAGTGGTGACATGCCTGGCCGCAGTACAGGCAACGTCCCTGGCGCAGACGCCTCTGCCTCTCCATCCTGGACAAGCGAGCCGCACCCAGCTGCATAGCCTCCTCCTGAGGTGTCTCCTCCCTGAATCGGCGGAAAGCCTCCGGGCTGATAGGGGGACGCGGAGGCGCACCTTGCGTCATCCCGCTCTCGTGCGCCCTCTCACGATGCCGATTGTTTACCCGCACTGAGAGGTTGACGAGGCTGTCCAGTTGCTCAGGCAGCTCCCTGAAGGAGAGTTCGTCCTTCATCCCCTCCGATAGCCCCTGAGTGTAAAGGACGACCAGGGCGGCCTCCTCCCATCCTGCCTCTTGAGCCCGGGTCCGGAACTCCACGGAGTAGTCCGCCACTGAGCGATCACCCTGCCGACAGGCCGTGAGCCACCTCCCAGCCTCGTGCCCCGACACCACCCGAGAGGTGTCGAACACCTTGCGTATCTCCCGGGTGAATTGGTAGGAGTCGGCTCTCTCACTCCGCTTTAGCCCAGGAAAGAGCCCGACCCGTCAATAGAGTGATGATGTAGGCCACCCGGCCCTGCTCTGTCGGGAAGGAGGAGGGTTGTAGGCTGAATACAAGGGCACACTGGGTGAGGAATTCCCTGCAGCCCTCTGGACGTCTGTCATCCCTATCCGGAGGTGGTAGGCGGCATTCCCACGATGTCACAGGCGAGACTGGAGACGCCGCTGCGGCTTCCGCTCCCACGCCAGCTGCCGGGGCTGGTCGGGTATCCACCCGGCTCTGCACGGCGATCGTCAGCTGGCGGAGATTCTCTGTGATCTGCTGCAGGCTGCGGTCGTGTTGGTTCATTACAGCCCCCTGCGTTGCCAATGCGCTCTGATACTGTGCTGCCTCCGCTGGGTCCATAGTTGCTCCGTTTTCTGTAAGGGTTGGTGTGAGGTGTGACCCAGGTGCGGTGCAGGATAGACAGTAGGCAGTAGGCAAGGATGGTGAAACAGGGATCTTTACTGGTGGTCCCGAAGCCAGGATACAAAACAACGGACTTAACACGATAAAAGAAAGGTGGAGCAAATATGTCTCCAAAAACAGGCCGACATCCAAAATACGAAATAGTAACTATGACTGAAATAATAAAGAAACAGGGAGAACACTTCTCGAGTACCTGTACATACTTCTCCGATCAGACACTGATTAGTGCTGCTGAGCATAGAGAAACTAGCAGAGAAAACTGAGCAAGGGAACACAGGGAAGTGAGGGCATAAATACACAGGTGAACAGGTAGACACAGGTGACACCAATAGGATGATGATTAGTCCAGACTGTGAGTGAGGAGGTGCCTGAGGTTGTCGGAGGATGACACCTAGTGGAACGCTCTGGAACTGCGACCCCCTCCTGTAACAGGTGTTATGCAATTTCCTCTCTAATACTGTAAGTAACCTTCCTCCTCTGTCTCATTCTCTCTCTCTCTCTCTCTCTCTCTCTCTCTCTCTCTCTCTCTCTCTCTCTCTCTCTCTCAAGTACACAGCACACATGCACGTTCTCTGACAGGGGTGATGTCAACGAGGTGGGCCGAGTTGTTTGGTCCAGGCACTTCCCCAAAAGCTGCCAATTGACAAACGGACAGCTGACCTCCATTGGAGGATCAAACATGGGGCGATAGACACCAATAGAAATTTGGTGCACCTAGATCCAAGCTATTTGGAGGGTTGTCTGTTGAGTCGTTAGTTCATCTCTTCATACAGTGTCCCTGACAGTTAAGGATGTTTACCCTGCTAACCAGCTGGGGGAGGTTTTCTCTTCCAGGCTGTTCATCCTAGGACCAAAGTACAGTTTCAGGCACAGGGGCTTGGTAGTCCTGCTACATTTTCTGTCAGAAGTAGCCAAGCTAGCCATCTGGAAGACAAGAAATAACTGTATGGACAGGGGTCTGTGGATGTGGTGGCCATGCTCAAGGGGTTAGTGGCAACAAGACTGAAGGTGGAGTTTTCCTACTACAGATTGGTGGGGAACCTTTTCATCCATACAGTCATATGAAAAAGTTTGGGCACCACTCTGAGGCTGCATAATAATTTACTCTGTCATCACAGAAAATGATCACAGTGGCATGCCATTCATTTTCTAACAAAAGCTGAGTACTGGGGTATTGTCCAGACAAAGATTTTTAATATCGCAATATTAATTTGTATGAAATTAAATCAGATGTGAAAAATAGGCTATGCAAATATGTGGGCACCCTTGTCATTCTGTTGATCTGAATACCTGTAACTACTTAGCACTGATTAATTGGAACACACAATTGGTTTGGTGAGCTCATTAAGCCTTGAACTTCATAGACAAGTGCATCCAATCATGAGAAAAGGTATTTAAGGTGGCCAATTGCAAGTTGTTGTTCTCTTTGACTCTCCTCTGAAGAGTGGAAACATGGGGGCCTCAAAACAACTCTCAAATGACCTGAAAACAAAGATTGTTCAACATTATGGTTTAGGGGAAGGCTACAAAAAGCTATTGCAGAGATGTAAGCTGTCAGTGTCCACTGTGAGGAACATAGTGAGGAAATGGAAGACCACAGGCACAGTTCTTGTTAAGGCCAGAAGTGGCAGGCCAAGTAAAATATCGGAGAGGCAAAGGCGAAGGATGGTGAGAACGGTCAAATACAGCCCACAGACCACCTCCAAAGACCTACAACATCATCTTGCTGCAGATGGTGTCACTGTGCATCGTTCAAAAATTCAGGACGTGAGAGTGATGCGGAAGAAGCCTTTTTCTGCACACATGCCACAAACAGAGTCGCTTGAGGTACGCAAACGCACATTTGGACAAGCCAGCTTCATTTTGGAATAAGGTGCTGTGGACTGATGAAACAAAGATTGAGTTATTTAGTCATAACAAGGGGCGTTATGCATGGCGGCAAAAGAACACATCGTTCCAAGAAAAACACTTGCTACCCACAGTCAAATTTGGTGGGGGTTCCATCATGCTGTGGGGCTGTGTGGCCAGTGCCGGTACTGGGAATCTTGTTAAAGTTGAGGGTCGCATGGATTCCACTCAATATCAGCAGATTCTTGGGAATAATGTTGAAGAATCAGTCACAAAGTTGAAGTTATGCCGGGGCTGGATATTTCAACAAGACAACGACCCAAAACACTGCTCAAAATCTACCCAGGCATTTATGCAGAGGAACAAGTACAATGTTCTGGAATGGCCATCCCAGTCCCCAGACCTGAATATCATTGAGAATCTGTTGGATGATTTGAAGCGGCCTGTCCATGCTCGGCAACCATCAAACCTAACTGAAGTGGAGATGTTTTGTAAGGAGGTATGGTCCAAAATACCTTCATCCAGAATCCAGACACTCATTAGAGGCTATAGGAAGCATCTAGAGGCTGTTATTTTAGCAAAAGGAGGCTCTACTAAATATTGATGTGATTTTTCTGTTGGGGTACCCAAATTTATGCACCCGTCTAATTTCGTTTTGATCCATATTGCACATTTTCTGTTAATCCAATAAACCTAATTTCACTACTGAAATATTACTGTGTCCATCAGTTATTTGATAGATCAAAATGAAATTGCTGATCCAAACACCCAATTATTTATAAATGGAAATCATGGAAATTGTCAGGGGTGCCCAAACTTTTTCATACGACTGTACATGGGGCCTTCAGGGGGCGTTGTGCTCTGTTGACGAAGAAGGGGATCTGGAGTTGTCCTTTTAAAACCCTCTCAAATTTCAGTTGTTTTCTTACAGGCTGTACACATGAGCACGGTGGTGCATGATTCCTGAGGTTGAATGTTCATGTACTGTAGGGTCTTGACCCAATAAAGGGGATTTTAAAATTATCTCTCTCTCTCTCTCTCTGCCTCTCTCTCTGCCCCTCTTTCCCTCTCTCTCTCTCTCTCTCTCTCTCTCTCTCTCTCTCTCTCTCTCTCTCTCTCTCTCTCTGCCTTTCTCTCTCTCTCTCTCTCTCTCTCTCTGCCCCTCTTTCTCTCTCTCTGCCTCTCTCTCTGCCTCTCTCTCTCTCTCTTTCTCTCTCTCAGTTTGTGGTACCTGAATGGGAACTACCTGGTGATCATGGTCTCCATTAGCGTCATCCTTCCTCTGGCCCTGATGAAGCAGCTGGGTGAGTTGCACCTCTTCTTCTCCCTTCTAACCTCTTTGTTTTCCTGCAAAATAACAACAAGCTTGTATGTGACACCAACCACGTAATAACCCTGGGTTGTCCACAACACACAACTGAATACTGTGTTAGCTAACTGAGCTAAAGGCCAGCCGTTAGGCTCTGGGAGCTAACATGAATCTTCAGGTCTCAGGCAAGGCTAGTCATCAATAGTGTAGTTCACTGAACCACCTCCACTACATAAGGACACATGCACAGCTGTCCTACTGGGCCAAGTCTTATGAAAGCCTCAGCCAGCTTTACATTAGGTTATAACAGCAACATGTGGTTAGATGTGAGAGCTACACTCCAGTAAAGCAAGGTGGAGGTGGAGAAATACCACGGGGTGTAATACACTCCAGTAAAGCAAGGTGGAGGTGGAGAAATACCACGGGGTGTAATACACTCCAGTAAAGCAAGGTGGAGGTGGAGGAATACCACGGGGTGTAATAAGGCTCCCATTGCAGTGTGGAGGTCCTGACAGCATTGACAATTCTCCTGGGTCACACAGCAGCCAATCAGACCCTCACACCGCTCCCACTCTCCTGGCCCGGTATTGGTGCTGCCATGGAAACGGCAGGGACCCAATTAGCCTCCTATGTCTCCATGGAGCCCAGAAACACGGAGTTGTAGACGACCAAGACAACACTAACACAGATAAGACGCTGCATGGTTGTGCGGTTACACACACACACACACACACACACAGTGCAACACAATGTGTGTGTTGCACTGGCAATCATGGTTGCTCCACGCACCTGCAGCACACTGATTAAGTTTTAAGAAATTATGCGCAGCAATCACCTCCTTTCACTGGCACTCATGTCCATGTTAAAGGCATGTAATTGGAGGTGGTCTTTCGACCATTAGTAGCCTACATCTAGTGTGACCACCAAACTCTTTTATATAACACTGTAGAAAACCTCCCTGTAAATTCCAACTCCAGGAATCAGTAGATTTAAATAGCTCACAATTCTATTCCATTATTTCTAATATGTTGTTGTTTTGTGCTCTACAGGCTACCTGGGCTATACCAGTGGTTTCTCCCTTAGCTGCATGGTCTTCTTCCTCAGTGCGGTACGTTTGTTTCTTCTCCCTCCTTCCTCTTCCTCTCCTTCCTCTCCCTCCTCTCTCCTTCCCCTCCCTCCTCTCCCTCCTTTTCTTCCTCTCCCTCCTCTCTCCTTCCTCTCCCTCCTCTCCCTCTTCTTCCTCTCCCTCCTCTCTCCTTCCTCTCCCTCCTCTTCTTCCTCTCCCTCCTCTCCCTCCTCTCCCTCCTCTTCCTCCTCTTCTTCCTCTCCCTCCTCTCCCTCCTCTTCTTCCTCTCCCTCCTCTCCCTCCTCTTCTTCCTCTCCCTCCTCTTCTTCCTCTCCCTCCTCTCCCTCCTCTTCTTCCTCTCCCTCCTCTCCCTCCTCTCCTTCCTCTCCCTCCTCTTCTTCTTCTCCCTCCTTCCTCTTCCTCTCCTTCCTCTCCCTCCTCTCTCCCTCCTCTCCCTCCTCTCCCTCCTCTCCCTCCTCTCCCTCCTCTTCTTCCTCTCCCTCCTCTCCCTCCTCTTCTTCCTCTCCCTCCTCTCCTTCCTCTCCCTCCTCTTCTTCCTCTCCCTCCTCTTCTTCCTCTCCCTCCTCTCTCCTTCCTCTTCCTCCTCTCCTTCCTCTCTCATACCTCCCCTCCTCCCATCCTCCCCTGTCTCTATTTCCAGGGGGATTTCATATTTGGGGATGGTTTGATTGGATGGCAGTAATATATATCAAAGGGATGGTTTGATTTGATGGCAGTAATATATATCAGAGGGATGGTTTGATTTGATGGCAGTAATATATATCAGAGGGATGGTTTGATTGGATGGCAGTAATATATATCAGAGGGATGGTTTGATTGGATGGCAGTAATATATATCAGAGGGATGGTTTGATTGGATGGCAGTAATATATATCAGAGGGATGGTTTGATTGGATGGCAGTAATATATATCAGAGGGATGGTTTGATTGGATGGCAGTAATAATAATATAAGAGCAGCTAAACACATCAAAGGGAAAGAGTGGGACCAAAGTCTTCAGAGACTGACTCACTCTAATCTACTGTGAAAGGGCTTTTCTGAGCTCCATAATACTCCCTCTCCTCCCCTCCTTCCTCCCTCATCCTTCCTTCATCTCTCATACTGATGTCTATTCCCTGTGTGTGTATATGACCTGTTGCTGTGTTGTTTGATGTGTATCTTACCTCACTCCTCCTCCTCCCCCTCCTCTTCCAACTCCCTCCCTCTATCTCTCCTCCCCCTTCATTCTCCTTCTCGCCCTTCTTCTCCTCCTCTTCTCTCTCTCCCTCTATCCATCCTCCTCCTCCTCCTCTCTCTCTCCCCTATCTCTCCTCTCCCTCCTCCTCTTCTCTCTCTCATCTCCCTCTCTCCCTCCTCCCCCTCCTCCTCTCTCTCTCCATCCTCCACCTCTTCCTCTCTCTCTCCTCCTCTCTCTCCTCTCCCTCTCTCCCTCCTCAACCTCAACCTCCTCCTCTCTCTCCCTCTAACCCTCCTCCTCTCTCTCCCGCCCTCCTCCACCTCCTCCCCTCTCTCTCCCTCCTCCTCTCTCCCCCTGCAGGTGATCTATAAGAAGTTCCAGATCCCCTGTCCGTTTGAGGAGTTCTTTGCAGCCAATCACACAGTGTCTCACCTGAACGTCACTGATAACCACGCTCTCCATGATAACAGTCTGGTACAGGAGGTGGATGACTCCCACTGTGGTGCAAAAATGTTCACCATGAACTCTCAGGTACAGTAAACCAGACTATAGGCCAAATGTTCACCATGAACTCTCAGGTACAGTAAACCAGACTATAGGCCCTGGTCAAAAGTAGTGCACTAAATAGAGTCTAAAACTCCATAACCCTCGTTCACTTTGCTCACCTATGTACTGCAAAGGTGCAGGCCATGCAAGTCTTGTAGATGAGTAGTCCCTCTGAGGCTGGTCAATGGTAACACAAGGTGTTTGTGTGTTTCATTCACAGACAGCGTACACCATCCCCATCCTGGCCTTTGCCTTTGTGTGCCATCCTGAGGTCCTGCCTATCTACACTGAGCTCCGCAAGTGAGTGTGCCTGCCCTACCCAAACCTGCTCCGTCTGTCTCCCCACAGTGCCTCCCTAGTGTCAGCACTAAACCTCTGTTCATAGGTTCCTACATGCATATAGTTTACAGTGCATTCGGAAAGTATTCAGACCCCTTGACTTTGTCCACATTTTGTTACGTTACAGCCTTATTCTAAAATTGATTAAATAAAAAACGTTCTTCATCAATCTACACTCAATAACCCATAATGACAAAGCAAAAACAGGTTTTTAGAATTTATTAAAAATAAACAACAGAATTACCTTATTTACATGAGTATTCAGACCCTTTGCTATGAGACTTGAAATTCAGCTCAGGTGCATACTATTTCCATTGATCATCCTTGAGATGTTTCTACAACTTGATTGGAGTCCACTTGCGTTAAATTCAATTGATTGGACATGATTTGGAAAGGCACACACCTGTCTATATAAGGGGTCTGTGCCATTTACTTTGAACTGGACTGTGTTTATAGCTGTGGTTGTGAGTAGATGTGCTTGTTTTGAGATCAAAACAAGAGCTGCATGTAGCCACGTGCACATTTTGTTCATATTCTTTGCTAGTTAGTTAGTTATTAGCCCAGTTATAGATAATTTGTAGTCAGCAATAGGGGAGTGATTGCTTCCTACAAGAGCACAAAACATGTACATTTCTAGAAATCTTTGAAAAGCTGGTCAGGTAAAGTGCTTTTTTTTTGTCTTAAAGGGGCAGTGTTGTATTTTGAGACAGGCTTGAAAATGCTAAATAGCCAATAGGCAGGGGGTAGAATAATTTGTCTGATTCTCTGTAATAATGGTATGGGAATAGTAAAGCATTTTATTTTGTAAAGTGGTTTCTTGCATCAAACGACACAACAACATTTTCAATCACCTCCTTATCTGAAGGACAATTGGATAAAAAGGCTAATGTCAAGCCCTGCAAGTCTAATGGAATGTAGGCCTACATTGAACACCACACATTGGCTGCCACTGTAGGCTGAATGATAGAACAGCTATTTACATGTTAAAATGTTATGGGATGCATTTTCTCCATAGTTTTTTATGGTAGGCCACTCTGATAGGCCTACATTATGATCAAATAGCCACAGTAACCTACATGGCCACTGTTAAAACTGTAACTTAAAGCAGGTACAGCCTCAGTGTTCACAGTAAACGCTCGCTGGAAGTTGCACAGAACTTTCACAACGTTGAAGTTTGCGCTCAGAAGACCTGAAATCTGCTCAGTGCCTCATTTTTTGGGGGGGAACATTGCTCTTACTCTAACCCACTGAGCCATTGGATTGGAACTACAAGATTCTCCTGTCAGTGTTGGCTGTTAACGTGTGTGTGTGTGTGTGTGTGTGTGTGTGTGTGTGTGTGTGTGTGTGTGTGTGTGATCCAGCCCTTCTCAGAGGAGGATGCAGCACGTCTCCAACCTCTCCATCCTGGTGATGTACACCATGTACTTCCTGGCTGCTCTCTTCGGCTACCTGACCTTTTACGGTGAGCACCTCCTCTTCACCACTTCAACCCCTGCCCTTTCCTCAGGGTGAAATATACCGTAGTCATGATTATGTGTGCCGTAGCCTCGGAAGCCCAGGCTTCTCACGTTAAGTTGGAAAGCCTGGGGAGGTTCTCCTCAGAAAGTAGTCTCACGTGGGTGGAGTTAAGTAGAGTCTAGGTGGAAACTAGTGACGCATTGCCAGTTCTCCAACCAATCAAGTATTTTGCATGGGTGGAGTTTTAAAAAATACATTGTGTTTCTAAATAATTTTCTGACTTGCAACAAGCTAGCATAAGATACAAAACAAATGTCTCATAGGCCACAACACTATATTTGCAATAATGTACAGTTTAAACATAAACATAATATCCATATTGGATTCTCCTCTGTGCCCTCCTGAACATTTGCAATGTTATTGAACAGTTGTAATGTCAACATTTTTTATAAAGGAAATTATTATAATGAATTATTTATTGCCGAAACACTTGTTTGCAGTAATTGCGTTTCTTCAGGGTTTTGGAAATAGGAGCATAACTCCCCCTTGTGGTCATTATTGAATACTACACACTGTAATGCTGTTATATCTTGAGACACATGTTGTTTTTATGTCTTTCAATGAGGAACAGCAGACATCAATGTCTGAGTCAACATAAGTAAGGCTTAGTTTGGAGTACAATAATGTACCTCTTGATGTTACCCACGATGTTACACCTAATGTCACGCTGATGTTGCCCTGATGTTACCCCCTGATGTTACCCTGATGTTACCCTGATGTTGCCCTGATGTTACCCTGATGTTGCCCTGATGTTACCCTGATGTTGCCCTGATGTTACCCCTGATGTTACACCCTGATGTTGCCCTGATGTTACCCTGATGTTACCCCCTGATGTTACCCTGATGTTGCCCTGATGTTACCCCCTGATGTTACCCCCTGAAGTTACCCCTGATGTCACGCTGATGTTGCCCTGATGTTACCCCCTGATGTTACCCTGATGTTACCCTGATGTTGCCCTGATGTTACCCCCTGATGTTACCCTGATGTTGCCCTGATGTTACCCCCTGATGTTACCCTGATGTTACCCATGATGTTACCCCCTGATGTTACACCCTGATGTTGCCCTGATGTTACCCCCTGATGTTACCCTGATGTTACCCATGATGTTACCCCCTGATGTTACACCCTGATGTTGCCCTGATGTTACCCCCTGATGTTACCCTGATGTTACCCTGATGTTGCCCTGATGTTACCCCCTGATGTTACACCCTGATGTTGCCCTGATGTTACCCCCTGATGTTACCCTGATGTTACCCTGATGTTACCCTGATGTTGCCCTGATGTTACCCATGATGTTACACCTAATGTCACGCTGATGTTGCCCTGATGTTACCCCCTGATGTTACCCTGATGTTACCCTGATGTTGCCCTGATGTTACCCCCTGATGTTACCCTGATGTTGCCCTGATGTTGCCCTGATGTTACCCCCTGATGTTACACCCTGATGTTACCCCCTGATATTACCCCTGATGTCACCCTGATGTTACCCCTGATGTTACCCCCTGATGTTACCCCCTGAAGTTACCCCTGATGTCACCCTGATGTTTCCCATGATGTCACCCTGATTTTACCCTGATTTTACCCTGATGTCACCCTGATGTTAACCCCTGACGTTACCCTGATTTTACCCTGACAGGTAAAACTGAACCAGAGCTGCTACACACATACAGCAGGATCGACCCTTATGACACGCTGATCCTGTGTGTGCGATTGGCTGTCCTCACCGCTGTCACACTGACCGTCCCCATCGTGCTCTTCCCAGTAAGTTACCGCCACCCCCTCCCCTTCTCCACTATAGCCTCTTCCCTCTTCTGAAAGACATAGAGAACTGGCCATTGGGGTTGGATTGGTGTGGCGTCTGGGGGCTCCGTGGGTGGCTTTTGACCATTTATTTGAATGTCTTAATCTGAAATGGTGGGTGTCATGGCTTGCTGAATTAAGACGCTAATTTGAAGAGGAATGGCCCTGTTGTTTCTGACAGTAACTCACTGATTCCTTCACTCTGCATCTTTCCCTCCTTATCTCTCTCTCTCTTTCCCTCTCTCTTTCCCTCTCTCTCTCTCTCTCTCTCTCTCTCTCTCTCTCTCTCTCTCTCTCTTTCTCTCTCTCTCTTTCTCTCTCTCTCTTTCTCTCTCTCTCTCTCTCTCTCTCTCTCTCTCTCTCTCTCTCTCTCTCTCTCTCTCCTCAGGTGCGCAGGGCCTTGAACCAGATGTTTTTCTCCAGTAAATCGTTTAACTGGGTTCGTCACGTGGCCATTGCCATTACCCTGCTCTCCTTAATCAACATGCTGGTCATCTTCGCCCCCAACATCCTGGGAATCTTCGGCATCATCGGTTAGTTGCACAGATTAAACCTAGTCGTGGATTAAGAAGTACAGATTAAATTTAGTCCTGGATTAAGAAACACAGATTAAACCTAGTCCTGGACAAAGAAACACAGATTAAACCTAGTCCTGGACTAAGAAACACACATTAAACCTAGTCCTGGATTAAAAAGTACAGATTAAACCTAGTCCTGGACTAAAAAGTACAGATTAAACCTAGTCCTGGACTAAAAAGTACAGATTAAACCTAGTCCTGGACTAAAAAGTACAGATTAAACCTAGTCCTGGATTAAGAAGCGCTTTCAATGACGATTCTCCACTGAAAGTGCTTTTTAGTCCAGGAACAGAAACCGGCCCTTTAAATTGACATACTTTACCTGACCTAGCCAGAAATATTTTATATGTAGAAGTTGCTGTAGTCTGGGATGTTTTGCATGGTTAGAAGTGTGGTTATGTACCTGTAATTCTTGATTGATATGTACACCTATGACTTCTACTTCTCTCACTTCTGTACTTTCTCTTTTGCTCCAAACGGAGTGAGTGGTTTTGACATAGCAGTGGCTCTCTGTTTTGATAATGTCTCCACTGTGTCAGCGGCCCAGCGCTTATTGGCTCAATGATAAACACATGACCTGAGTCAATATTTTTTTTTAAATCTCTTTCCTTTGAATGGACTACATGTTTCATTTTATGGAGGTCAAAGTCAAGGAGGTTAAAGGTCATGGACCAAGCCACAGCACCAATCATCACCCACATCCACTAAAATAGGAAAATCTGACAGTGTTTGTGAATGTTGGCCTTGGCCCATATTCTGGTTTTGGACAGTTTGTTTGTGTGTTCTACCAAATGTCCTGTGTAACATGATCTGTAGCCCTGACCTTCATCCATCCTCCTCTTCCTCCCTCCTCCTCTTCCTCCTACAGGTGCCACATCCGCCCCCTGTCTCATCTTTATCTTCCCTGCTGTCTTCTACATCCGCATCGTGCCTAAGGAGCAGGAGCCCATGCTCTCCACCCCCAAGATACTGGTGAGCACATATCTCATCCTCTCCATGATAATTGTAATATCCTCATATCTTGATTTGATCTATGTAGGAGTCTTCATCATTACTGTTATTGTGTGTTATGGTTAGAGTATGGTTCTTGTTACCATATAAAATAAAAACATTCTAATGATGGTGTTTCCTCTGTCTTCCCAGGCTGCCTGTTTCGCTGGTCTGGGCGTCGCCTTCATGACCATGAGTTCGAGTTTCATCATCATTGATTGGACAACAGGGAGCAGCAACTCTGGCGGTGGCCACTAGAGCCCGCCCTCTGCTCTGTGCATGCCGGGGTCATCTGACAGAGGCTTTCAAGGGATGCTTAGGCGTGTGTTTAGAACTGTTTTCATGTAATTGATGCACTATCCCCTCTGTGGTAGAGCAAGGGTCAGAGGTTAGGGTTCAGCGAGGATGGGGGTAGGGAGGGGGAGACATAATCAACCTGCTGGGTAAAACCATGCTGAGCATTTCAGTCTTCTTGAGACTAAAGACTCGGACAAAACAGTCTGTACTACTGTAAAGCATTAGAGAATTTATTTGAACAAAAGGTTTCATAATCACTGTATGTAGCCCTGCACAGAGGAGTGCTTTTATATGAATCATCAGGACTAAACAGGGTATTTTTAAAATCATGATGATGATGATGATGATGATGATGATGATGATGATGATTATTTATCAGTGGGATAGTGCATCCAAGTCAATCCATAATGGAAAATCCAGTAAAAAGAAACTCATGCTGGTTCCCCTCCCTCCCTCCCTCCCTCCCTCCCTCCCTCCCTCCCTCCCTCCCTCCCTCTATCCTTCCATCCTTATTTATCTCTTTCCATCCACCGGTTTCTTTCTCCCTGACCCCTTTATTCATGTGAACTGCAGCTACTGTAGTACTGTACAGATGTACATATGGTGGAATCTATATGTAAAGGAGGCAAAGGAAGCGCATGACTACATGATAGGGAAGTGACTATACATTATGTGTCATATGGTATTTTTGTACTATAGAAGAAATGGTTACATCTATAGGTTAGGTGAGTGCTGTAAAACATGCAGTCTGTGGTTCTCTTGGTATTCCTGTCTATCACTTTGTGCCATCAGCACACACCTTAACCATCAAAGTTTACCAGGCTTTTCCTAATATTCTATTTGAGCGGGCACACACAGATACAGTATATTTTCCCATATTTTCTCCCAGGAGTGCCGCTAGCCTGTGTTGTTTTATGTGCCAAAACTAAGGGTGGATGTGGTTGTTGGGCTTAGTTCAGGTTGATGTCCCATGATGCATTATGTTATTGAACTCTTCCTGTGTCCCTGGTACCTCAGATAATGGAAGAGTGGCTCAACCAACCACACAAATAGCCTATACAGTGAAATAGTAACGTCTATTTATTTAACTAGCTATATCCATGTTTGAAAATTTCACAAGATGCGCTAATGCACTCAGAATAGAGTATTTAACTATATGATCAGGTATCTTGATATACTTTATAGATGGTATGCAGAGTCTATAGTGTATTGTATGATATTGCATATTGGATGGTTTAGTTGAAAGTGCAGGAGGCGAGCTTGAGGGCACTGAGCTGATTAAGAAGAAAAACATAAACAGCCTTTTACATTCATGTTAGTTAGATGATAAACTGACATCCTACATATAGTATTGACTGATTTTTATGATCAATTGTGCTTTAATCAATTTAAGATGAACAACTTAAACTTGCCTTTTTAACACTAGTAGCACATATTCAACTCATACTTATATTTCTACAATTAATTTGTAAACACTTGTCTAAATTCAGTACAGTTCAACTGTACCCTTTCAGTTACAATGGGGGTTTAGCATACTGTTTTTGGCATGACAAAATATGGAGGAAACGTGTTTTGGTTATGTGGTTGTGCCATAAGGTCCGTCCATGTTGTTGAACTAGTCTTTATTGTATTTTAACATCTCTTTTCCACTTGTTTTGTGATTGGTGGTTGAAGTTTTAGTGAAGGAAGCAGGAGTGTCACCTGTCCAGTCTGTCTGGTGATTGGCTGATGTATTCAGTGATTCATTTAGCATACTAAATTAACTACTGTGATATTCCAGGCATAGTATGTTGATATCTGGACTCTATTTCCAAAACGTGTGGCTATATGGCTGTATCTCCTAATGTATCTGGTCTCTAAACGTGAGGTCTTGTGATCAAGTACAGTTTTTAAAGCTTTGACGATGAAGTTAACTGAGATTGTTAGATCATTTGATTCGAAAGCCCAATGCCCCTAACGCAACATTTGATACTTTTTTTCAAAACAACACTGTGTCATCGGTTCTCTCAAAAAACTGAGATTGCATTGTAATAGCGTTGTAATAACATTGTTATAACATTGATAATTGTTATAAAACCCATAATATAGCTTCTTAAATCCTGTTATAGCTGAACCAGTGAATGGACATAACCTGTTAAAAACTATTCAACCAATGTAAAGGTTAGACTCACAAAATGGTGGTTACTTTGTTAGTGGTGTTTACTTTGCTAATCTCAAACGTATATTTTGTCAAGTCCTACGTATGTAAGACAATTGTTATTTTTTATTTTATTATTCTTATACACTGCAGCCGATGTTGCTTTCTCTTTTGTGCACATTCATTTATTTTAATTTATAATCAAGAGAATATTGTTGAGCTGTCTGTTTCTTTTACTCAACGGCTAAAAAGTTGTTGCATGTATCTGCCTCAACCCCATATTTCTCCTGGTCTTGCTGAGGCAGTGGTTGTGGTATAAAGGAGGCAGCACATTGCCATAGACCAAGGACGGGCAACTCAACAGTGTCTGCTGGTTGTCTCTGCTCCCTGGTATTTCATTGATCCATAACGGTCACTGGTTTCTCCGGTCTCTATCAGTCGCTGAGTTGAAGGAATAATACAACAATAACCAGCAGACATGAACTACTACCTACTGTTTCTCTCTGAGAGCCTTTGCTCTTCAACTTTAGAGCTTTGCTATCACTATTATAACGTCTGGGGCAACATTCTCAACATGTGTCTCTTTCTCTTGTATCCAAACCAAACTATGCCAGCCAGTTAGCATGTTGTTATAGCTCGTTTTAACTTTGCAATTTATTTCTGAGGAAATGACAGGACTATGCGTGAATAACAAGTTATGTATGAACTTTGGACTTATAAAGTGGCTTATATAAATAATGTATATAAATGTAAACCCTTTATATTTGTGATGCACATCTAGCTTTTATAGTGTAAATAGCAGGGACAGTTTCAGTCTGACAATAAAACAAATGTAAAAGTTTTTACACCTGTGTCACTTCTGTCCTTAATTGTTGTTTGTATTATCACACAGACTCACACACACAGACAGGTTTGTTATAGCTACTGTCAAAGTGTTTCTGCTCTATGGTCTAGTAGTACATGGTCTATGGTCTAGTAGTACATGGTCTATGGTCTAGTAGTACATGGTCTATGGTCTAGTAGTACATGGTCTATGGTCTACCATACTGGTCAAGGTAATGCTGTATTTAGATAAACACACGTAAACTTCCCCTGGGTCAGTATTGCCCCTGTCCTTACCTAACAATCCTAATGTTTACGGGACAACTATTGGACATTTTCTGGGCAGATTCCAGTTAGGTCTGGTTTTCCCTTTATTTATGTGTTACCAAGAAAAATGTCACTAGAAATATTCCTAATTCCCAACATATGAGGGCGCTACAAACCACTCCATAAGGTACTCTTGTGCACTGGGTTTATGAGAATGTGCCTTCTTGGATGGATGCTTCATTCGAGAAAGTACTGAAAAAAACATGCTCTCTTTTCATGTTCAAATCCATTTTCAGTCTTGCCACTATTCTCAGATGTATGTACAAATGAAGCCCCTCGAGAGGTCATAAGCTCTATTCAGCTCATTTAACCACCCTCACACTATCCAAAAATGTCAGATACAGTAGTTATTCATTTGAATCATACATCTTCTTTAATCAGCATTAAAACAACATACTTATGAAGAGGACTAACTGTTCCCTGTAGGCCTACATGAAACAATCAAAAATCAGTGTGAGGGTCCCTTCAACAGAACATTGCTTAGTTGTTGCCAGTAAAGTGGTTAATTAAGTTATAAGATATGTGTTCATGAATAGGCATTTGAATATGAAATCATATGAGAATAGTTTGTATACCAAAGAAACCACTTAAGAAAAATACAGCTATCTGTTTAATGTGTTGTAATACTCCCCCCTTGTGTCAAGATCAACGTATCAATATACCTACACTGTAAAAATATACTATAAAACATTTAAATTAAAAACTTAGAAAAATAAAAAAATAAAAATTGTAAAGTGGTTGTCCCACTGGCTATCATAAGGTGAATGCACCAATTTGTAAGTCGCTCTGGATAAGAGCGTCTGCTAAATGACGTAAATGTAATTACACTATAATTATACCTGCCTATGTAACTAGCCTACCATACAATTTTAGGCCACTTAATATAAAGTGGGACAGATCCATTTATATTTTTTGTGCAGTCCATAGCTGGTGGAGAGGTTTTATAGTCATCCCATCCCATGTTCATTTAGATTATTTGTTATCTGGGAAAAAAACATGGATTCCTATAATTAGACCCCAATGAATATGATCCCAGTGAACGATGATGCTCACACAGATCATTTCAGTGCTCACCCTCTACCTAACTTATTTACAGTATATTCCCATAATTGCTAGCCAAGTAGGCTACCTCAACTTTGAGCGCAGACTAGTTTTTTTAATGAATCCGACTCATTCGAGTCGCTATGAGTCGAAACTTCAAACATGTACATTCTTAAACCGTTACTGTGTACCTATGCATGTCCTCTGATGATGAGTGCATTTCTTTGTTTGCGGAAATCCATACTTTTTAATAAAACGTCAATCAAATACAACCACAGACTGTTTCCTAATTGCTGTTGCTCTAAGATGGCAACAGCGCGAATGCTCATGTGCCAATTAAAGCTCAACAAGGAAGTCGGTGGTTGTATTTGATTAACGTTTTACTAAAAGGTATGTATACTCCATGGAGTTGAGGTAGGCTACTACATAATTGCCTACATTTCCCATAAGGCAAGAGACTTGCAAAGCACTGCATTTACAGCAGGGTTTCAAATAGGATGCATTTGGCACTAGGTTATTGCCTCCCTTTACTGCAGAAAACGGACCAACGGTGGTGTATCAACCATTTGTTAAATCTACGACGCATAATATTGATATATTATATCAACTGAGTGCTGAAAGGGTGTCAACAAAT